CAGCGCACTGATTCACAGCTAGTGTTTGACTACGTTAAAAATTCTAGAAGATGACAGTACACTAATTTGGGAAAACATCAACAAGTTTTTTTTTCATTGATTAGCATAAACATTTCACTGCAAGAGTGTAAGAATCTAGCTTAGTCTTTAGTAAGATTTTAACCGAATTCACCGATTGAATTTCTTACTATATGCCTCATAGACTTGACATTTTCTATTTAAATCCAAAATCCAAAACAGCTTATTCAACACAACGTTTAACGTTTGACTCTTTTGACTTCAACCGAAAATTTTGCATATCTTTTATTTATGTCTGTATACCTCTAACCACTCTAGTATTTAAGTTTTAAGCTTTCTCCTCGTATATCTTTAATTTTTATTCGATTGATGTCGATGTCGTTACTCACGAACTCCTTTGATGACATAACAAACAAATATCCTCTTTAAAAATTTCTTCCAAAAAATAGTTTTTAAATTTTGTGCCTCTTTTTGAAATAATAACTCACTCATCCTCATTTCCACCAAAATTCATGAAATTTTCATCACATTATCATAATTATTTTTAAAGCTATGACAACTAGTCTTCACTGGGGGCTAGGATCCCTTTATATCCACGGGACCCTGGGCTGCAGCTCAAAAAGCCTACATATAGGTAGATCCGGCCCTGGCTATCCGAAACCGTCACTCCATCGATAGGTTTTTAATTCCATTCATCCATTACTGTGTACAAACGTCCACTGCCGAACATAGACCTCCACAACACAAAAAAAAATGGAAGAATTACAAACACCCAGAAATAAATGGTGCTGTAAAATAAATAACAGCATATGAATTGAAAAAAAAAACATAGACCTCCATATAGATTGTCTCTTAGGAGGACTTTGCCACAGTTTTTAATTCCATTCATCCATTACAGTGTACAAACGTCCACTGTCGAACATAGACCTCCATACAGATTGTCTCTTAGGAGGACTTTGCCACAGTTTTTAATTCCATTCATCCATTAGAGTGTACAAACATCCACTGCCGAACATAGACCTTCATATAGATTGTCTCTTACGAGGACTTTGCCACAGTTTTTAATTCCATTCATCCATTAGAGTGTACAAACGTCCACTGCCGAACATAGACCTCCATATAGATTGTCTCTTACGAGGACTTTGCCACAGTTTTTAATTCCATTCATCCATTAGAGTGTACAAACATCCACTGCCGAACATAGACCTCCATATAGATTGTCTCATACGAGGACTTTGCCACAGTTTTTAATTCCATTCATCCATTAGAGTGTACAAACATCCACTGCTGAACATAGACCTCCATATAGATTGTCTCTTAGGAGGACTTTGCCACAGTTTTTAATTCCATTCATCCATTACAGTGTACAAACGTCCACTGTCGAACATAGACCTCCATATAGATTGTCTCTTACGAGGACTTTGCCACAGTTTTTAATTCCATTCATCCATTAGAGTGTACAAACATCCACTGCCGAACATAGACCTCCATATAGATTGTCTCTTACGAGGACTTTGCCACAGTTTTTAATTCCATTCATCCATTAGAGTGTACAAACGTCCACTGCCGAACATAGACCTACATATAGATTGTCTCTTAGGAGGACTTTGCCACAGTTTTTAATTCCATTCATCCATTAGAGTGTACAAACGTCCACTGCCGAACATAGACCTCCATATAGATTGTCTCTTACGAGGACTTTGCCACAGTTTTTAATTCCATTCATCCATTACAGTGTACAAACATCCACTGCCGAACATAGACCTCCATATAGATTGTCTCTTACGAGGACTTTGCCACAGTTTTTAATTCCATTCATCCATTAGAGTGTACAAACATCCACTGCCGAACATAGACCTCCATACAGATTGTCTCTTAGGAGGACTTTGCCACAGTGTTTAATTCCATTCATCCATTAGAGTGTACAAACATCCACTGCCGAACATAGACCTCCATATAGATTGTCTCTTAGGAGGACTTTGCCACAGTTTTTAATTCCATTCATCCATTAGAGTGTACAAACGTCCACTGCCGAACATAGACCTCCATATAGATTGTCTCTTAGGAGGACTTTGCCACAGTTTTTAATTCCATTCATCCATTAGAGTGTACAAACGTCCACTGCCGAACATAGACCTCCATACAGATTGTCTCTTAGGAGGACTTTGCCACAGTTTTTAATTCCATTCATCCATTAGAGTGTACAAACGTCCACTGCCGAACATAGACCTCCATATAGATTGTCTCTTAGGAGGACTTTGCCACAGTTTTTAATTCCATTCATCCATTAGAGTGTACAAACGTCCACTGCCGAACATAGACCTCCATACAGATTGTCTCTTAGGAGGACTTTGCCACAGTTTTTAATTCCATTCATCCATTAGAGTGTACAAACGTCCACTGCCGAACATAGACCTCCATATAGATTGTCTCTTAGGAGGACTTTGCCACAGTTTTTAATTCCATTCATCCATTACAGTGTACAAACGTCCACTGTCGAACATAGACCTCCATACAGATTGTCTCTTACGAGGACTTTGCCACAGTTTTTAATTCCATTCATCCATTAGAGTGTACAAACGTCCACTGTCGAACATAGACCTCCATACAGATTGTCTCTTACGAGGACTTTGCCACAGTTTCCACGCTTGCCAGACGAGTTGGCAACCGCGGTTTTTTGGTGTAGTGGGAAGTGTTACACCGCCATTACATGGTTAAGTTCATTGTCACATTTTCGCTGCTCGTTGAAGCTTTCTCTTCAATGGCATGGTAATTTTACATTTCCACTAAATCGGTTTCAGTTAAACCTTTAATTTGCGTTGCGAAATTGAATGTTACTTGATTCTATATGTTTTGGCTTAGCACCAACACGATTTGTTTGTCTTTGACATCTAGTCAAGATTACGGGGACGTAAAATGATTTTTAAAAACTATTTAAAACCTATTTTATTCCTAATTACAAACTGTTTAATTGATTAGTCTTGACAGAAGTCGATATCAATACGATCTGACCGCACCAATATATTGTGCCTGATACATCATGCAACCAACAGTGCTGACTCTGTAGTTATTGGTTACCGCCTGATGCTAATGCAGCCCCCTTTTAGGTACAGACCATAACAACCCTATGTCACGGTAATTTTATCTATACAGTATTCCAACTTCATACAAACGGACGAAGCGAGAGCTATGCCTACGCGCCTCGATTTCGGCATGCGCTCGGCATGCAGACAGTCGTGAGTGCCGCAGTGATGATTTTGTGGAATATATATAAAAAATGGAGGAAATAAATAATAGAATAAAAATAAAGAAATAATAAATGCGAACTTCATTTACAAACCAAACATATAAATTATAAAATATCTTTTACTTGGTTATAGACACCTCTTTATCCAAGTAAAAGATATTACTTTTCTCCACCTTGTCCATGTTTCCCAAAATAATTTTTAATTAAGCTTTATATTATAATGCGGATTTTTTTATACTTAAAAATTTAATAATAAAGTAATTCGTACGTCTCAGCCGAGGCGCAAATAATTTTCGGCCGCAAATTCATAAGACCGATTTGTAATTCATACATAAACATGGTTTTTTAATTAAATCTACCAATCAAAAAACGATACGCATTTTTATTGAACACTTCGTATTGAATTTTCAAAGTACCTATTATATTTGATTATGTAAAAAAAGTATATTTACAATCATAAAACTAGATGGAAACACAAAGTAGGTAAATGTAATACTGAAGGCAGGCAGCCCTATTGCATGTTTACGTACCGCGCTGCTGTAGGCATTTATTTTTAAAATACGGCCGAGTTACAATACTGTATAGATAATATTACCGTGCCTATGTGTTTGCAGCCACAAGACCCTGTCGTTGCATATCTACTTAATTGTTTAAAAGGTAACTGTTAAATAAATATATAATATTCTAAAACTACAATACGTGTTGTTAGTATTGGATTTGCGAATAAAGAAATTGTCGCATTATTTTATCCGCGGATACTGCAACTGCGAATAACATTACCGTGAAATGGCTTTATACTGTATTTTAACACGAACGCTGCCCAATATAGTCGCAATTGGGTGTTGATCCTCTCTAAGTTGAAGTTACCAAGTTGGGCAACAAGGTATAAAAGTATTGATATGGTATTCACTAGCTCATAACCGCTCGTAAATGTAGTGATTATATTCTCTTTGCCCGCTCGCTTCGCTGGGCGCACTATAATATTTTATTGCGGAACCTATTAATGTTTTTTGATGAGACAATCGTAAAATCCGTTCTTAGTGAGCGTCTTCATTGCGAAATGAGTAACTAGGTATACTAAATTTCAAAGCAATCGGGTGTATAGTATTAGAGATTTCGTGTTTAGTCAGTCAGTGGTATTTCGCTTATATAAGTAAGATATGGACGTTCGATCTTTCCATTACGTTATTTGTAATATATTTTGTCTACACATTATTATCTTATATAGTATATTATCCTTCTTGTGACTGTCTCGTTGGTCTAGTGGTTGTAGTAGTGCGACTGCTGATCATGACGTCCTGCGTTCGAATCCAACATCGGGGCAAAATTCAATTGTTGCGTTTTTCTGTCAAGAAATTTTCAGTAGTTGCCCGGAGTCAGGAAGTTGGCGGTGTCTCCCCCCTGTGCCTCGGAAAGCACGTAAAGCCCTTGATCCTGCGCCTGATCTCTCTCCGGTCGTGTCGGTTTACCGTCCCATCGGATTATGAGAGTGAGGGAATTACAGAGTGCACCTGTGCTTGCGCATGTACTTGGGTACTATAATCCAGTCCTGCGCCGATGGCTAGCCTCCGTTGAGGCAGCCCGCCGTGGCAGAAATTCGGTCTGGAGGTCATTATTATTCTTCTTTGTATTGTCTATACCCATCTTAAGAAATACTCTGAGTGGTCAGTGAGCAATGAGGATAGTTATAGGCCATTACTTATACTAATTTAGCAACTTAATGAACTACTTTCAGCAGCTAGTACCCGAACCACCTATTCCCGAATGGACAGCGGAGGCGAGGGACATTCAAGAGATTGTGAGCGTGCTGTCCGCTCGCTTCGAGAGAGCGCGTGCTCGAGCTGACGTCATCAGGGACAAGAAGAACGACACCAACATCGTTATAATTCAGTCTAATGTGAGATATGGACTTTGCCAAGCTTTTTGCACTTTGCCATAAGAGTAAGAGTGTGATCGGAGAGTTTGTGTGTTCTGCGGTCTTGCAGAACTTAGCTCCGATCACATGGACAGTTTCCACGAGTTTGTCATTGATATAGTCCACGCCACTGCAGTCTTGTAGGTACTGAAAACTATTTTCTAACTCGGGCTGAAAGTTTTCGAGACTCTTAACTTAACGTTTAGGTGCAGTGTGCCTCTCACCATTCGGTGATTGCTGCCAGTTTTACCCCTGCGTAGAGATATCACTAGACAGTTGCCGTCTATTCGTCATAATGAAGTCAATATTATTTTTTGTCGAACCGTAAGGACTTGACATGGGCCTCTTTCTCCATTAAGTCAGCTAGCTGCTGGCCTCTTGGGTTCCGTTGCCAACGGAAACCAACAACCAAATTTCCCTACCTTCAGCTCACTGTTTTCTCTTGTTTTGCGTTGAAGTCTCTCATTAACACCGTATTGGGTTTTGGAGGAATGCATGGCTTTATAGGCATGATGTTCAAAACTGTATGACCTTCAGCGAATAATCGTTTGTGGATTCTGAGTGTAAGGTACGTAACCCTCGTCGACACACCCACAATCTTTACAACATTGTTAACGAGAGACTTGTGAACCATAATTCCGACACCTACTTAGGATAGATGGCCGCCCTCCATGTGATCAAGTTGCCGGATTCGAGGATTACAGTGTCCTCCCCTCTCTTCGGAACTCGGCTAATCCTATAATATTCTAGCGCAATTTGTTTATCTCTCCTTTCAGCTCCAGGATCTTCTCATCAGTCCACAGGGTGCGCGTGCGTGTGTGCAGGGTGATGTGTTGCCACGTCAAGTTTTTTTTATAGAATAAGGGTGACAAACGAGCACACAGACCACCTGATGGTAACTGGATGCTGTGGCCCATAGTCATCTTCATTTATCCTCGATTAAGAATCAAAACGCAGATGCGTTGCCACCCCTGAGGACTAGGATGCCTTGTTTCCAGTAAAAAAAGGGTCTCCGGATCCCTACGATGACCATACCAAACACAGCGGTATTAAGCTGCTATTTTAAGCTGGTATTCTGTGAGAACGTGGTCCTTCCCAGGTTGAGCCGACTCATTCGTGCTACAACCATAATATAGCTGCAGCGTGGCTTTACCACTTTTAATAGAACCGAACCTCCACCGGAGGTTCTTAGCATCAACTTCTCCGCCGTTAGCATGGTCGCCACCGTAGCCACGAATAGCGGGCCGCCGGGGACTGGGGGACGCTTCCTCGTAACTCTCATCATGGGGTGTGTATTGCCATAGTTGTCATGCTTGGCGAGCGGGTTGTCAACCGTAGTTTTTATTGTTATTTTGCTGTTATCAGAAAGGTGTTGCTGCCGATCTTCTGCCTTAGTTTCCCTCTGTTGCCTGCTACGCCGCCTATGGGATGATATGGGTTAGTGGGTATTCGTGCGCCACTACATTGGATTAAAAACTGTTTTGTTCGAGTTGATTCCAATGGCAGCGACTGCCGTGGAATCAACACGGACAAAACAGTTCTTACAAAACAATACGATTTGTATCAGGAAAAAAGATTAATTAAACTTATCTACGTATGAAGCACTATTTTACAAGTTGAAGAAATAAAAAAGAATTAGGTACCTACATTGTTAGCTGTAACTGCGTCAATTAATTCAGAGCACATACGATCAATTTCGAGGGTACTAACTCTTAATTACTTAGTAACCCATAAATCAATTTGCAGACGACAAGCGCAGCGCCATCTGTCGCCGGAATGAGCATGTACAGCCACAGTACTCCGAAGGAATCCGAGAAGGCTATACCTACTTACAAAGAATTAGTACACAAGGATCCTGTCAAAGCACCCGGTATGTACGAAATCTTGGAATATTGCTACAAAGTAACACCTTATTTATGAATTCTTGATCTTCATGATGAAGATCTCGCTGAGAGACTCGCAGATTGCCAAGGGTGGTTTGGATAAGACAGAACTAGAGAAAGCCTAAGCCATTCGGGCACCCCGGATAAGAAGTTTACGTCCGCTCACTTTTATTTAGTAAGCCAGTGTTTGACAACAAACCCACGTGATTCGTGACCATGGGTGCTGTAAGGTGCTCGAAACGTCGGGAATGTAAAATAAGTTAATACTCGTATTTACGACGTTTAATAATACGCGATAAAATCCGTAAAAACTAGTTTTATTTAAATGTGTAGTGTTCGCGATAATAAACCCACCTGATGGCATGTGATGTAGAACACGTTTGGGTTAGCTTTGACATCGGGTTAATTTGTGGGTCACGAGGCGCTTCCTTGAGATTTACATTCCGAGCGACCGCCAGGATCGCTTTTTCTTAACGCTAAGACTGGGATAGGGGATGGGATTGGATTTTACCTGGTAGAGCCACGCTGCAACTTTATTTGTGGCACGAATGGGTAGTCTCGACCGGTGACACGCTCTCACAGAATACCAGCGTAAAATAGAAGCTTAATGTTGCTGTGTTTTGTATGGTTAGTGGTAGAGAACCGGAGTCCCTTTTTACTGGAAACGAGGCATTTCATCTCAGTCCTCACGTGTGACTACGCATCTGCATTTTGATTCTTAATCGAGGATAAATGTAGATGTCTATGGGCCACAGCATCCACTTACCATCACCTGGACGGTGCACTCGTTTGTTATCCTATTCTATAAAAAGGGGAATGACGATTCGGATTAAGTGCGGTTTCCAATCCGCCTACCAAGCGTGGCAACTGTGGCAAAATCCCCCTTATGAAGCAATCGATGGAGAGTCCTGTGTTCAGCAGAGGAGTTTTATAGATTGTAATGGATGTATGGTAATGGAAAGAAATGAAAAATGTATTCAACGTTGATGATTAATTATTATTAACTAACAAAAATAATAGTTTTGGTCGTTTCTTACTGTTATGTTTATCAACCGGAATGAAACCCCGAGGGACATTTTTCCAAAATATGACTTTACAAATAAACAGGGGTAATTATCAATACTATTGAATACATTATTTATTGATATTTAAATACCCTTTTTATATAGACTAATCTTATATTTTATTTTTGGGGCTTTATTGTTAAAATGTTGAATAGCCTGGGAATGAATAACTGAAGTTGTAGAGTCGAGTTAGGTACTGGTATTACTAGCTTGGGTTTGTTCTCAGCTTACACAGAATATCTATCGATATCATAATATTCTTCGCAACCCGAAGATTAATTGGATTATGACATCCACCACTTCTGTCAGCGACGGTCTCAGCAAGCTTCGCTACGGGGAAAGGTCTTCTACTGCTTCACGAACAATATATTTATCACTATATTAATATTCCTATTGCAGTCTCAGACGAAGAGGAAGATATACCGTCCCGCTGCTACCTAAAGAGGCAAGCACAGCTGATCGTGGACACCAAGTGCAGAAGGAAGGGCTTTCGACCACCGTATCCGAGAAAATAGAAACTGCTGCATCGTTAATTTCTAAAGATTTTGTTATTTAATAAATGTTACAAAATAATATGTTTTATAATAATTTTATTACGATAAATACCTGTCATCTATCACTACTGTCTACTACACTCACTAACGACAGGCCTGTTGGTCTAGTGGTTAGTGACCCTGACTGCTATGCCGGAGGTCGTGGGTTCGATTCCCACCCAGGACAAATGTTTGTGTGATGAGCACGATCATTTGTTCTGTGTCTGGGTGTAATTTATCTATAATATTTATGTATTTAGAAATATATAAGTATGTTTATCAGTTGTCTAGTACCCATAACAACATAGATTGGGACTAGATGGCGTTGTGTAAAAGAAAAAAAAAAAAGAAAAAAAATCTTGACCAGGTGGTAAAGACGTAAGAAAATATCAAGAATTTTCCATAATCACACGACACCTATGTCGTCTTCTTCATCAATCAATTATTGAAAATTTTAGAGAAATCTAACGATAGTTGGCAGTAGAACCATCTTTTTGACGCCAGACGTAAAAAACCTAGACCAGCGTTGGGCAGCAGCCTCAAAAGTGCGAGTTGTCTGGCACATTGCGATCATCAATCTGGTGAAAGAGACTTTCACTATGGCACCAAAAAATGTGCGGCATCTTAAATTGTAATTAGGTAAAAATTACAATTTAAGTTGCTGCAAGGTGCAAGGCGCTAAAGGATATTTTGATGAAACTTCCATGTCTGAGAAGTTAAAGATATTTTGAGAACGTGCGAAAACCACCAACACGCCTCAGAGTTCCTGCTTCCAAATCCTTTAAAAAATAAAACAAGGCCTGCATCCAGATGAAAGACGTACTACTGCGAAATATAATTATTACTTTAAGTGTATATATATATATATATATATATATATATATATATATATATATATATATATATATATATATATATATATATATTACCAACACTACTTTAAAACGAGTCTGTCATATATGAACGCACTCGAAGCAGCGCCTATTATTTATTCCGTGGGGGCGCGGAGCGGCGGGTAAGCGCGCGCTTCGTTTGTTTGTGCAAAAGGCTTCCAGTTTGGCACACGCATCAAAAGGCTGACAATCCGACGTATATATCAAACTGAACGTCTAAAGATGCTTCAATAGTTTTGTGCGTAGTTCGACATGGCGCTACGTAGTACTATTATTTGTTCTGTGATGGCGCGTAGTGTCCTAGGCTACAAAAGTAAAACAGAAAAATAATAAAAGCCCCCCACTATATGGAAGGACGAACTGGTAAGATATGCAGGAAGTCGATGGATGCTGGTGGCTTGGCATCGTGCTTTGTACCATTCCTTGGGGGAGGCCTATGTTCAGCAGTGAACTTGTGAAGGGCTGTAAATAATAAACAGAAACGCGTATGGGATAAGAAGTAGACATTTATTTGTTTAAGCTTTAAGGCATTCACCAGGACCCAGGGAAAGCAGAGGTTAAACCATCTGTGTCAGTGTACCTTATAGTGATTATTTTAACTAAAAGTATAAAATATTCTAATTGTCCTCAAGTCTCTTACATACAACACAACAATCAGTCACGACACGAGCGCGGCACCTTTTATGTGCATGTGACACTACATAGTAAACTCCAGCGCGATCTTATTAGTAGGGCGTCGATTTCATGAAGCATTTTTTTAAATTCCCAGTGGGAAGTTATTGACATGAGTCTGATTTCGCAAATTGGAAATTTTAACATATGTCCACGTTTCAAGGTCTTTAGAGTCAAATAGTATGGTTTTCTTAAAAACCATACTATGATGTCCGTGTACGTACATGTGCACACATGGGTGTTCGTGTCTGCACATGTACGTATATATATATATATATATATATATATATATATATATAATATATATATATATATATATATATATATATATATATATATATGCACATGTACGTATGTATACATGTATGTATATATGTATGTAAGTATCGGGTTTTTCAAGAAGAACTTTGTTTTTCAATTGGGGCAACACCAACACAACATGACAGTTTTGACATGTAGTTTTTTGACCTATTCGTAGTAGATGCTTTGGCAATTGCTACGATGAATTCAATTTCGCTCGAAAATCGCATTAAAATAATTAAAATCCACTATGAAAATGGTGGTTCTGTTAAAGTTACGTTTCGTAAAATTCGTGATATTTTCGGACAATATAATCTTCCTTCTGAGACCGCTATTAAGAATTTGGTCGCTAAATTTGAATCGACAGGCTCGGTACAAAATGTGCCAACACCAACGCATGTTCAACCGGGTCGTTCAACCGAAAACATCGCAGCCGTGAGCCACAGTGTTGAAGAAGATCCAAATTTGTCAATTCCTCGACGTTCTCAACAATTGGGGTTATCCAAAACCACCACATGGCGAATTTTGCGTAAGGATTTGGCTTGGAAGCCTTACAAGGTTCAACTGGTGCAGGAATTGAAGCTGACCGACCATTCACATCGCCGTAGATTCGCTCAATTCATTCAGGAACAGCCCGCTGGTTTTTCTGAAAAAAATCATTTTTTCAGACGAAGCCCATTTTCACTTGTCAGGGTACGTCAACAAGCAAAATTGCCGCATTTGGGCTTCTGAAAATCCTAAAGCGATTATCGAGAAGCCTTTGCATGCTCAACGTGTCACTGTATGGTGCGGTATGTGGTCTGGAGGCGTGATTGGGCCGTTTTTTTTGGAAGATGAGGCTGGAAATGCGGTAACGGTCAATGGATCACGCTATCGCGAGATGTTAACGTCTCAATTTTGGCCTATTATTGATGACATCGATATCACAAACATGTGGTTTCAACAGGACGGTGCCACATGTCACACAGCCAACGAAACGATCAATTTATTGCAAAACAAATTTCCCGATCGCATAATTTCACGAAATTCAGCTGTTAAATGGCCAGCCAGATCGTGTGATTTAACACCACTGGATTATTTTTTGTGGGCTATGTTAAGGACAGAGTCTATACGGAGCCAATCGAATCGATCGCGGCCTTAAAACTCAAAAACCGTGACGTGATCAATGAAATAGACCCGCCATTTTGCCAAAAAGTGATTAAAAACTTTGATGAAAGAATCGACATCTGTCAGCGTGGTCGTGGTGGACATTTGCCAGATATCATTTTTCATTCATAATTGCCAAACTTTTCTCTTCGTAATACAATAAAGAACAAAAGTTCTTGTTGAAAAACCCGATATAAACAAAGAGTGATATTGACATGGGATCAGTTTCATTTAACGCATAATTATGTAACTTAGACCTCATAAAATTTATAGCAAAATCGGTCTAGTAGTTTTTGGGCCGAATGAAGAATTGTATAAAATATTAAAACATCATATTTTTTATTCTTTCCACTGGGAAGTTAGTCGTGTGGACCTTTCGGGTCGCACCTACACCGCTTTTTATTCAATGTAACACTAATGTATTCTGTGGTTTTGGTTTAAAAAAAATCGACTGACACAATCTCGACAACTTCCCAACTGTCACTCTGGTGTCAAGCAATTTCATTTTAGACGACAGGAAAATTTACAATATTTTTTGAAAAAAAGTATTTTACAAGCACTCCGTTTGGGAAAAATCATGTTTACTCCTCATAAAAATTCATATCTGCAGCTGGTCTGTGCGGTGAACCCTCGTGTAATCAACAAGGCCGTCGATCAAGCGATGCAAGTGAAGCAGTTCGATCCTCACACAGGTACTTTTATAAGTTTAGACCTGGTTTAGACAGCAAAATGTTTTGAAATATCTTCTTCCTCAAGTTATCCTACCTGAAATCTAAAATTTTAAATTCAAATTTCTCGCAGAGTTTGATCCAATAGATATTTTACCGATCCGATACCTACAGCTACTCCATTATGAATCCGCGTGATAAGCCTTGCGTTGTCACCTCAGATGACTAAGACAAAATTAAACGCCTCTTCACAAGTTAAACGAGTCTCCGAATCTTTACACACATCACAGGAAACAATGCAGAAGCTAATATTAAATTTCTATTACGTTCATATCCTTTAGAGGTTTACACCTCATTTAAGCAAACCCACGCATTTAAAAAATAAGGACATTTATATTTTGATACTATATATAGGGTACTTCTCATTGAGCTATAATTACGAAATTTGGCAAGAAGCAGGACCTCACAGTACAAGTAAAGAAAACCCAAAAATCTTTATTACATAAAAATGTTTTTTTTTTTACGTTTATAAACTTATGTTTGCAGCTGAATCAACGACAATAATATAGACCTACATTTAAGGGAAATCAGTTTTTTTCCACTCCCGAGATAGATGAACTATCTTCATACCAGCTCGTACTTATTTAAGTTTATTATGAAACCTCGGAACGCGTGGCCTATTCTCATTTGCCCAGGTTTTTTAAAATCCCTGTGTCGGTAATCGACGACCGCGAACTGTCTGAACCACATACATAGATATATGAGAACAAATGACTATTCATTAGCAGCGTTTTTATGCCTACTATTGCTTTATTGCTTTTTTAACGTCTCTACACTCGCTAACACTTTCGGTACTTATTAAATATTGCTACCTTTTTACCAGAATTACCAGCAGCGCAACGGCTGGAGTCCATGCAGCCTTCATTGTACGCACCGCACGTAGATATTACTCGTGCACGTTTGGGTTTCGGTCGCATAGGCTTGAGACTCATTGTGAGAGATCTCCATTCGCCTGACCAACTAGTTCAGCTGCAAGCTCTGCATAGCGTGCTTGACCAGGTATTAAATTGGCTAAAAACTGATTGTTACTGTATAGTATTGTATTATATAAAAAAGAATCGCTTAATGACCGCGTAAGAGAATTTCCATATTATCGCGTGAGTGTTAAGAGGCGACAGAGGGAAAGGAAGCAGTAGATGGGCTGTCGCATCTTCCTGATAACTCGAAATAATAAACAACTGCAGTTGACAATTCCCCCTATAGAGAAATTGATGGGGGGAGATCTATGTACATCAGTGAACTT